CGAGATAACAATTTCTCCGCCAAAACTTTTATGGGACGCAAGTGGCACCCAGCTGCGTGGGAAGGCTGAATTTAAATTTGTGAGGTCGTACACGGGCAGAGGTATTAGCCTAAAAGTTCAGCCTCCTAGCTTTCATAGTTCCAAAAATAATTTCAGCCTTTCCCCGTTCCTAAATGCCACGGCTTGCACATGGTACCCAGGTGCGGGGGAAGGCTAAAACTGAAATTGTGGAGGTACATATGGGGAGGGAAATCCCCTAAATTTCCAACTTCCTAGCTTTTCTGATCCCCAAGTTTAAAACTGCGACAAAATGTATCAGACACACACACAATCCTGTGGCAATATGCGTTTTTTGAGCTGTTGCACAGCACAAAACGCACAAAAATAAAAACACAAACGTAGACAGATTCAGAAACCAAGGAAATGCATTTTTAGACCAAAACATGAGGATCCAAAGTATATGCACGCCCTTATATCAAATCGGTACGCTCAGATGTTCAGCTCCTAAAATTCGACAAAATGGCAACGGTATCCTCTAGGCAGATAACGCCATCATGTCCTCCTACGGTACATCCCGTAAACAGTCTAGGAAAATTTAAACTGGTCCAGCATGACAAGCCAATGCACGAAGGGTTTTCTGACTTATTAAAAGATGGGAGGCGAAAAATATCTGGTTCTTGGTAATAAACCAAATATTTGTTGCCTTCCGCTTTAGGGTCTGTTGCAATTTGACAGTTAAAACAGTCAAACCAAGCATTTCCTACATCGTGGGAAGATGGCTTGCCAAAATATTGCAAGAAAAAGATTTCCAGACTTGCTGCGCAATTCACTCGCCTACTGAATTAAAGACTTTGCAAGTGCGCCGTGCAAACGACAAGACAAACAGTCCAGCATGATGAGAAGAGTATTTCAGGATGAAGAACCAGAAAAGCATTACTTCGGTCATTAAATCACTTCCATTAACGCAAAAAAGGTTCCGAAAGTAGCTATAACAGGCTAAACCCTCGAAATTTGGTTAATAAGGGCAAACAGAAGACAAGCATCAGGGGCGGGGGGGGGGGGGGGGGGG